GAGAGATAGATAGATAGATAGATAGATAGAGAGAGAGAGAGAGAGAGAGAGAGAGAGAGAGATTTAAGCAGTTTCATTCCAGAGGTATATAAATTGACCACTCCATGTGACACAGCATGGAGGGATCCTTTTCTTTTGGCTTACCATATATTTGTATTATGGTTGTTTTGAAGTTTGGAATATTTGTTTTTAGCTGATTTGAGAGGGGTGGTCCTTGTGTTTTTTTTTTTTTTTTTTTTTTTTTAATGTGCATATGCAAGGAAAATGAGCAATAGCGAGATGAAAAAATTGAGATTGCACAATCACATTGAAAGCCAGAAAGTATCAGTGTACAGAAAGCAGCATTGCACCAGTATAACACCAATGGAGAATCGTAGCACTGAAAACCGATTGTCAATGAGAGCGCTCTCGCCGTTACCAACATAAGTATCCAGGCCACTCCCTACACAGCTACTATCTGCCTAATAATTGACAATGCAACTGTTGACGTCAGCAGCCAACGAAGTACTTGAAGATGTCGACCAATGCAGACCATCGCCAATACCAGGTATGAGCCCTCACATCATCATCCTCATCTCTCTCTCCCCCTCTCCCCTGTCCTTCTCCCTTGTCGTCCTTCTGTACACCCGAAGACCACCACTGTGCCTTGCTGTTTATCCAAACCCATCCAGCTATTGAGGCTGGGCTATGGCGCTGCCCTCAGCAGCGCCCTTCGTCATACACGACCGCACGTGCGCAGCACCTTGCCTTAGCACAAGCAGCAGCCCGTGAGACTCCGCTCCAGCAGCGCTGCCGCTAGGTTTCAAGTGCCCGAATAAGCTTCCAGGCGGCGAGCTCTTTCCTATATGGAAAGAGTCTGCCTGCCTGCCAGCCTGGCTGGGCTGGGCCTGCGCCCAGAAGCTTCCGGCAGGCCCCAAGTGGCTGGGCCTCTGGTGCAGCTGCTGGGCGTCGTTTGGTTGGGCCTTCCAACTGTCTGTGTATGATTCTGCGATTCTTGCCCAGGGCCTGCATTTCAAAAAAGGCCCAGAAGGCCGAGGAAAGTATTTGCAGCTCGGGTCCTGGGTTCCCTCAACCAACTGACGCGACACAACTGCCTTAACCCCAAATGCAAAATTGACAGCATTGGGCCTCTTGTGATTTGCTAGGCCCGCCTTCACTTAGGGCGGGCACACTTGCATCAGGGACCCCTTAGGCCTGCCGAGGAGCCACATCCTCGCACATATTACTCTTTTCTTTTTTTTGATTGGACTTGTCATTGCATTGCATAATTGGAAACGAGGCAGGGTAACCTCACAAACATCCCCCGGACTGATAAATAATAAATACAGGACTGGAAGCATCATCTGGCTTAGCTTACAGGGTAAACCCTCGGTGGCTTGTAGGCCAATCTTGGCTGCTGCTCTGGGCTGCTCAAACCAACGCACTAGCCTATTCTACCGTTAATCTAACCCATCTCTTCTCTAGTTTGTGTAGCCTATCTACCTGATCACCTAACTAACCAAATGCCAGATATGGGTCAAGCGCACTGAAAAGGGTGCGAAGTTGCAGCAGCCATAGCTTTCCTCATTCTGGCCGGAGATACATTCTCTTTGTTTTTTTTTTTTGTTTTTTTTTGTTTTTTTGGCAAAAAGAGCCCTTGTGTAAGCCCTCTATTCTGGCAGTGGTAAGAGAACCGTCAGAATTGAGGGTTTATCTGCCGGGCTGCTCAATCTATTGGTGGGGAGCGGCACCTGCTGGAAACCGGGTCCAGCTTCCCATTGATACATCTTGCAACACAGAGACTTCTACCAAGGGCTGTGGTCATTTCACTTGTCAGTCCGGGGCTCCGTTGTCCCATGGAGCTGCCAATATCACCCATCCCATCTTGGAGCACCCCATGTCTATTTGCTCAGCCCTATTCAACAGCCCCCCTGTTCGTTATTACAACGTCTGTGCCTTTAAACCCTTTAAACCTTATACCCTCTCAAAACCCAGCCATGCCACATTGTTGATCCTTAAAGACTGCAGCAACAGAGAGCAGTACAATGACACCAGGCTATTGCAGCACATCTGAATCCGTCTTATGTGTCAGTGGGTGTGTGAGAACCCTTGTACCGTCGACCGGTTGGTCGCCTTATCCCTTGTCAGAGCTGCACGCTTAGTTCAAGGGCTGCGTCAGTCGTCACAGTTCCAACTGCAGGGCCTGTGGCAGCAAGACGTGAGAGGGGTGGTCCTTGTACATCTGCATGTTATGACAGTTGGGCATTTTGTCTTTGAATACTTTTCATTGATTTGAACTTCATGCAAATTGATGGGATTAAGTGGACTGATGGGCAATTTTCTCTTGGACCGTCAAGTGCAAGTTGGCGAGAATTGTTTCTTGCCCGCCCCTGCTTGCACATGTGTGAGTGTCTTACGCCCCCTTTATCACAGGGGGGTGTGCGGGCGCTTGGCGCTGCTTAACCACGCAAATGTGGCCAACCTTATACTTCATTTCTAAATTGATGTGGTTGGATTTGGGAGTGTGATGTTTGGCTATTGCGTACAGAACACACACGAAAGTAGTCGGCAAAAGTTTGACAAAACTGTTTGGCACGCCCCTTTTTCTTAGCAGCTTGGCCCCAAAAAGACGAGTTTTGGCTTTCAATTCATCTCATTAGTGCTGAGCCGGGCTCTCCGTTGCAAAGCCTGTTGACGGCTATGGTGGCATGAACCATGAACAGGTGATGGTGACTTTCCACAATCAGAATAGTGGGCAAACATTTCTGGAGAAAAAAACAGGAGTGTAATGGATTCAATGCAGGAAAGATAGTGGTAGGCGTTCCAACAGGGAGGTTGCGGGTTCAATCCCATTGGCCACTTCATAGACGGTTGGTGCTAGATTGGCACTCACGTACTTGGCCCCCAGCCTAGTACAGCAGATAGATGGAACAGGAGGTGTGGTAGTTAACTGGGTTGGAGCTAAGATATTGCAAGTAAGAGGTCTTGGTGGGGTCAGGCGACGTTGATCTCAGGTTGGACTGAGAGAAGTTGATTGACGGGTGGGCTGCTCTCATGGAGTAGTGATCACTCAGTGTGCCCAGGTCGCAGGTCTTGATTGCAGGGTGGCTTCGATATAACCAGAGTGATTGAAGGACCTAGTTAATGACCTAGCTGCAAATATCCTGACACTATTTCACTCGCAAAGCAACATACAACTGAGAGCAATCAGATAAAGCTCACACGAGCTTGAGATATGGCCATGAACAATGTAAATTCGAAGTTCCACTTAGATACAATAATATACAACTGCAAAAGTTCGGAACTCGGCGGTACCAACTACTGAAGCAACCCCTGACTCAGATCCCGACTTTTCCCCGTCCGAACTGCTGCTTTTCTCTCTGTTTCTCTCCCTCCCTCTCCTCTCTCTCCGTGTGACGCACGTGCAGGAGACACGTGCGGAGATGGTGTGAGAGAGGAAGAGAGAGACGAGATGGACACACACGAGAATCAGCAGCTGAGTGAAAGTCCAGTCCGGCTCCACAAAAGAACGAACAACTGAAGGACTGAGCCTTCCGCCCTGGGCCTAGGCCGAAGTGATATATCGGCCTAGGTCCAGGTGCGGAACAACCTGGTACCGGACCAGGGTCGGGCCGACGGCCTGAAACTGGTCCGGCCTCACTGTCGGGCCGTAGGGGTACCGCTACACGATCCTCGGACCTGTGAATGGATCAAGCGATACATCAAACACGCTATCGGCTGAAATAGCGGAAACCCAAAAGGACGGCAAAAGAAACAATCCTAGATGCGGAGCAAGCTCCATGCAGGAAGAGGGATGCAATGTTGACTAAGACTCAAGCCTAATCTATACCACAATGTCTGGTCTGTGTCGATCCAAAAAGTAGAAAAATGTTTGACCTGCGTCGGCCAAGAAAGAGAAAAATGTCTGACCTGTGTCGGCCAAGAAAGAGAGAAATGTCTGACCTATGTCGGCCAAGAAAGAGAAAAATGTCTCCTGAGCCAAAGAGGCTGAATATGAATCAACACCAGGGCCCGAAAGGCCAAAGAATAACTAAACCACTGTCCTAAGTTGAAAACGAATGTGGCACAACCTCACGTGCCCTGTACACAATGCACAATACCTGAACAAAAGAGAAAGGGACTCTGTCGCATGGCGGGAGTAGGAATGGGTGGGAAGGCGGCAGGTACAGCTCTCAGAGTAAACTCCAAGGGGGCACCCACACAACCAGAGGTAAGGGTCATCAGGCTCAGAGGGAGGGTAACAGCACGACACCGGGCTCAATGGAAACCATCAAACGGGTACCGCCAACTGAAAGAGGAAGGGCACTCACACAAGGGAGCATACATAAGGTGAGCCTGGAAGGAAAGAGAGGGTCATGTCGGTATAGACATGTGGCCAGAAGCCGCGAGCAAAGAAAACGTACACTTCGGAGGAGGGCACGCAGCATAAGGTAAGGCAGAAGGGCGGCAAGCGGACATACCCACATAGACAGGGAAAATAGGGGTCATCATGCGACTAGAGGGAGGGGTAAACTCGAGGATAGTGGATAGGTGGAAATGGTGGGAACTCTGTAGCCGACAAAGTGAAGTAGTCCAACTGATGAGTCTCCAGACTGAAGTCGAACTGAAGTAGCCTGGATGAAGTAGGAGTACCGCAAGATCCGAGTAGAAGTCCGGAAGAAAGCGATAGGTACTCTGGTACTGAGGAGAAGCACTGAGGTCGAAAGTCGAATGTAGAAGCCGAATGTAGAAGCTGAAACTGGGGGCTGCTGCATAGGTGTCCAGGAATGGTAATAGATAGAGAGCGTATGGGGGATATAGATCATTCACGAAAACGAGAAGGAAGTCGATGGGTACGCTGAGGGCGAGAGGAATGAACTGCAACAACAGGCGAAACCA